TCTGACTCCTCCAGTGTACTCAGAACCAACTGCTTCCTTCTTCCTCAATGTTCCTCTCTTTAAATATGTGGTTTAGGAAAAATGAAAAGAAACTAGGTGTGGTTCCTTTTTCTCTGTGCTTCTCCTCTCAACTATGTCCCTGTGCTTAATTAAAATTTGGAAAAGTTATTTAGTGAATCCTGTGTGGGTCATCACTTTGCCTCTCTCTCTGTCTCTCTCTCTCTCTTATTGTTATTATTGCTTCACCTGCTCTTAGAGCCAAAGAGTTCCACATATACACTCAACAGGCCAGATATGGAATCACAGTTGACAAGCTATGTCAGTGACCCAAAATATAACTGGCAACATAACTGCCATGGATAATCCATTTGCTGTCTTCTGTCCTAGGAGGCAGCCTCTGGTGATTCTAAGATACCCAACACCTTATTTTTTGCCAAATTTAAGGCACATATTTGTCTCAAGAGCCAAGAACTAAGACTCAATATCACTAGTATGTGGGTGAACAGGAGTACTGCAAAAAGGAGTAGGAAGCTGGTAGTTGAGAGGCAGGTTCTGGAGGAAGGGACTGTCTGATAAGGTCATCAGAGATCAAAATGAGAGGGCAGCCATCTGTCACCTAGTTCCTCCATCCTTGTGCCATACCTTACAGATGTAAACAACTCAAACTCAGTTGAGGAGTTTCCGAGACCATCTCCTGGAGGACCTGGAGGACCACCACCTAGACCCCCTCCTAATGGTGAAAACCAAGGTGATGGACCGCAGCAGGGACCCCCCGCACAAGAGGGTCAACCTCAGCAGAGACCACCCCCACCAAGAGGTCATCGTCATCGCCATTCTCCCCCACCTCCTTCTGGGAAGAATCAGGGAACACCATCCCCAGGATCTGGACCAGAAACACCTCCCCAGGGCCCACCACCCCAGTAATCTGGAATTCAATGACAGGTATGATTCAAGCTCACTCTCCATCAAGGGCCCTTACCCCTGTAGGTCTCAAACTTTACTGTGTCACTGAATCAACTGAAAATATGTAGTAATTGCATAGTCCTGGACCCCAGTTCTAAAGATTTCAGATATTCTGGAATAGAAGAGCAAGATCCTTTACTTTTAACATGTTATCCAAGGTGATTCAGATTTTGAGAAACACGGACCATAAACTGTCTTTTTCCCTATGATTACCTGTCTTAAAGTGGGCTGGTAATGAGGAAGTAGAGCAGTGTTCTCAGTGACTTCCCATCTCAAGTTTCCACCTGACCAGGCTTCTCAGCTCCGTGTCCCTACTAAATGATACTTTAATTTCACGCTGCTAAATTTATCTAGCTTTTAAAATATTTCATTTTGAATTAGTATATGTTCAAGGTAAAAAAAAAACTGAACAGAAAAGTATGAGGCTAACTGTTAAAGGCATTCATATCCTACTTCCCCACAAGCCAGCACAATTAACGCTTTTGAACATCCTCTGGAAATATTTATGCCCATATAAACATATATAATCTTTTTATCCACAAGTTATATCATTCTTCATATGCAGATCTATAAGTTGCTCATCTCAAATAACAAACCTCTTAGATAACATCCTTATCAATTCACAGAGCTATATGGATCTATTTGGTCTTGTTTTCTTTTTAATTGTATACTATTCCATTGTCTGGCTGTGCCATGATTTCTTGAACCAGCCCTGTATCAATGGGCATTTAGACTGGTTTCAGTTTTTCACTACAATAAAACAGACTGCAGTAACCATTTTTGTAAATATATATTTGAACACCTTAAATAGCAACCTAAGAAGAATCTTTTTCTATCTTGTAAGCAACAATTTAGAGCCCATAATCTGTTAGGTGCATAAAAACTGTAAACCAAAAGAAATTTGGAAGGAAACCGGAGAGGGTGGAAGAAGAGAGAGAAAATTGTGGGCTCTTGCCTACTTCCTTTCAGTGTGATCTGCAGGGATTAGAAACCACCTGCCAACCTTCTATGAACTTTCTTTTTTGCTTTTCAGAGCATGAGTATGAAGATACCAGTCCTTCAGGAAGCCATGACATTGGAACAAGGCAGTCCATCTTCAATTTACCAATGAAATAATCAGCATCCAATTTCTAAGTGCCATGTCTCATTCTGGGTGTTTGTGAATCTGAAATTTGAGAGCCATGAACCCAGCATAGGAACATCCAAGACCCCTTCTCACTGATGCTTGCAGCAGGCTTCCTCCTGGACCAACTTCCTAGAAAACATTTTCCCTTCGTTCTTTGTTTGGGGACAGGAATGTGTATCTCCTTTTCTACCTGCTATTGCCTCTTTTCCCCTGACACCTTTATTCATAAGCCAGGTGCCTGTTTCTCTCTTTCTACAGCACTAATGCAATGTTTTTATTATTTTCACACCTTTTACTGAGATTCTAGTAATTTTAGGGAAATAAGGAAAATATTGCAAATGTGAAGAAGTTGCACAGGCTGAGGGAATCATTAAAATTTCCAAACTAACTGATCCTGTTAAAGATAAAAAAGAAATGTGGCTCTAGGTCCCTACTCTCTCAAGCCTACTATACCCCTTTTCCCCTTTCGTGGCATTTCTCAATTTTCCTCCTCCCTATATCCCCCACCTTTGTTAACAGAATTTGAGTGAATTTCATAAAGGAGGTGGTATGCTGTATTAAAATTGGAGTTCTTCAGACATGAGTTTAATCTTATCTCTTTCTATTTTCTTTGGACTTTTAGCAAGCTATTTCAACTCTCAGAGCCTTAGTTTCCTCACCCATATAATAAGGATAATAATAATACCTACCCTAGGGGGCGAAGAGTAATGATTAGCACACGTAAAAACCTAGTGGAGAATGCCTTCACCACTTCCTAATAATTGTTGTGGGGAAGAACAGTACACATGAAACTAAGAAATTAAGTGCTCCCAAATTAAAACTGTTCAGATTGCTACGGCAGAAGATCAAATTACAGGACTTCCCTGGTGGTGCGGTGGTTAAGAATCCGCCTGCCAATGCAGGGGACACGGGTTCGAGCCCTGGTCCAGGAAGATCCCACATGCCGTGGAGCAGCTGAGCCTGTGAGCCACAACTACTGAGCCTGTGCACTACAGCCCCCAAGCCACAAGTACTGAAGCCTGCGTGCCTAGAGCCCGTGCTCCACAACAAAAGAAGCCACCGCAATGAGAAGCCCGCGCACCACAAGGAAGAGTAGCCCCCGCTCGCCACAACTAGAGAAAGCCCGCGCTCAACAACAAAGACCCAACGCAGCCAAAAATAAATAAATAATATTTTAAAAAAGATCGAATTACAATATTCTCTGACAATGCGTCTTCCAAATTTTAAAAAGACATGAAAAAATTCACTTTGTCTTTTTTTTGGTATCACCTTCTGATGTCTTTTCGTTTCATCTGGGGGATACTGTTTCTGATACTGATTCTGTCATGGTACATTGATAACTTCTACTCACTCCCATTTCTTACAAAGTTGGGAAATGTTCCTGGGTTAAACAACACTTTTACAATGGGCATAACAAAATCAGTATTGAAAAAGAAACCAGACAGTGGGATTGTTGACATCAAGTGAAAAAAAAATCATCTTTGGATTTTATCAAGGGCTTCCACCTACCTTGAAATCATATAGAATGATAAAAATCTATCCAAGCAGATCTCTAAGATGGAAAGGAGCCCATTCATGAACATCTCTGGAAAGGACTGGCAAACCTTATATACTGGAAAGAGGGGATCTGAGGAACATTCCTTCAGGGCCAGATTCATCCTAACTCCAGGTCTACTCACTATACATCTCAATGAATGCTGAGTATGATTTTATTTTCTTACCTACTAGCTCACACTATTAACTCATACTGAACTAACAGTTAACTGAAACAAATAGGTTTTGTTAAACTGCTTCTTGAGTTATTCATGTTTAAATCTAATAAAGAACTTCACACACGATTGATTGTAGCTTTGAACTGAGACTATTTCCGATCCTGATTTTGGTAACTACCCAGTGTAATGGAACCTTCAGCTTTCCGTCCACAAATTGATAACTATATTCTCTGTTTCTTCTCAAAATAGACATGCATTTCATTTAATTTTGGCAAGTCTTTTTTTTTCTTTTTCTATTATCTTTTTAATTTTTTGTCTAACTTAAAAAAAATACGGCGCCCCCCTCACACGGGGGTGAGAGGTTCTGCACACAGGCTGCAGCACAGTGGGCTTTGGAGGCGTGGAGGCTGGGGGGTCCGGTACCCCAAGGTCCTCCCCGATCGCTAAAAGAGGTTTTCTCCCCGAGGGTGCGTCGTCCCCCACCATCGTCTCCCTTTCGGACCCACGGAGGCTCTTCAAGAGGCTAGCTCGCGGCTGGGCCGGCGATCTGCGGTATGGGCCACAGCTGGTCTGACGTGCGCCTTCGCCGTCAAGGCAGTGAAATGCCTGCGCTACCTCAGGCTCCTCAGTCTGCCTTGGCGTGGCGTGGCGTGGCGTGGCGTGGCGTGGGCGTGGGCTGGATCTGAAATGTCTGACCGAGCCCGCCTCGCGTCGCCAGGCCCGCCACGATGGCTCACATGCCCGAGTGCAACCCAGGCTAACACACGGCGCGCGCCCGGCTACGTCAGTGCCCCCCGCACGCGGCGAGGACGACCACGACAAGGCACCTGCCCCACGAGACAGGGACAGGCGCGCCTCCCTTACCCTCTCGACGTCCCGAGAGAGCTGCTCGACGGACGCACCATCTCGGTGGGGACCCGAGGGCCTCGCAGGCAACGGGAAACGACGCCACAGCTCGGGCCAGTGAGGGGCGACCCGGAGCGCTGCAAGGCACCGCTGAGGGCGGGGCGAGACGCGCCCACGCACTGAGGTGGGCACGCAGCACGGCGGCGGCGGTTGCGGCGGCGGCGGCGGCGGCGGGACACCCCCGCCCTTCCCCCACCTGGGTGGGGAGGCTTCTCGCGAGACACGCACCGAGGCGTCGAGGCTAGAGAGTCCCCGCGGCTTGAGGGGCGGGAGACCAAGGGCGGTCCCGGGCTCCGCACCCCTGTCTTCACGCACCACCGCTGGGCGGGCAGGAGAGGCCAGCGGTCCGTGGGCAGAATGAGGAGAGCGGCCTGGTTCCCCGGGAATGTCGGCCTAGGCCCAGCCCTGGAGAGCGCGACATCACCACATCCGGCACTTTCTGCAAGTCTTGGTAAGACCTTTTGTCAATTGTATACATTCTACCGAGCTCTGACTAGAAGGCGCCTATGTAGCATTCCTACTGAAAATGGCATAAAGCCCAGAGTACCCACTTAAAGCCAAGTTGGAAGAAAATGACGTGGAATATCTACATTCCTTTTTACCCCCCGCCCCAAACACCTCAAATACTTTGGACTGTGACAGAAAAACAGGCTCCAAAAGGGGCAGAATGTAACTTTGTTGCAACCAATCTTCCACCTTCTGGTGGGAAAATCTCTTAATTTGAGATTTTCTCTTAATGTGATAGATTGATTTCCTATCCCGATAGGTTTGATGGTCTGCCCTCTCTATTCTTAGAAAAGTTTCACCTGATATGACATGTCCAAATTACTTGTTTTATAGAATACAGCATGCTGCTTCCTTTATGAAATATACTCGTGTTCGTTAAAGAATGGTGGGGCATCTAGGGAGGGAGAAAATTGAGCAGAAATTAAAAAGGGGAAATGGGGTATAGTGAGCTCCAGGTAATAGGGACCTAGAACCACATTTATGTCCCTAGCAAGAAGGTCAGTTATTTTGGAATTTTATTTTTATTTGGTTTGTTTGTTTTTAATTTTTATTTTATATTGGAGTATAGTTGATTCACAATGTTGTGTTAGTTTCAGGTGTACAGCAAAGTGATTCAGATATACATATACATGTATCTATTCCTTTTCGGATTCTTTTCCCATGTATGTCATTACAGACTATTGAGTAGCGTTCCTTGTGCTATACAGTATGTCCTTGTTGATTATCGATGTTATATACAGTATATATAGTAGTGTGTGTCTGTTAATCCCAAGTTCCTAATTTATCCCTCCCCCCAGCCTTTCCCTTTTGGTAACCATAAGTTTGTTTCCTAAGTCTGTGAGTCTTTCTGTTTTGTAAATAAGTTCATTATATCATTTTTTAGATTCCACATATAAGTGATATTTTGTGATATTTGTCTTTCTCTGTCTGACTTACTTCACTTAGTATGATAATCTCTAGGTCCATCCATGTAGCTGCAAAGGGCATTATTTCATTCTTTTTTATGACTGAGTAATATTCCATTGTATATATGTACCACATCTTCTTTATCCATTCATCTGTCGATGGGCATTTATGTTGCTTCCATGTCTTGGCTATTGTAAATAGTGCTGTAATGAACATTGGGGTACATGTATCTTTTCGAATTATGGTTTTCTTTGCTATATACCCAGGAATGGGATTTGTGGATCATATGGTAGCTCTACTTCCAGTTTTTTAAGGAACCACCATACTGTCCTCCATAGTGGCTGTACCAGTTTCATTCCCGCCAGTAGTGTACCAGGGTTCCCTCTTCTCCACACCCTCTCCAGCATTTATTATCTGTAGACTTTTTGATAATGGTCATTCTGACTAGTGGGAGGTGATAACCTCATGGCAGTTTTGATTTGCATTTCTCTAATAATTAGCAATGTTGAGGTCAAGCTCTTAAAAAGTGTCTGGGCCTCCCATCAGCGGGGGAGACTCTTGCTGGCCTCTCCAGCATTTATTTTTTGTATTTTAAGGATTTCTTCAGCCTGTGCAGCTTCTTCACGTTTGCAATATTTTCCTTGTTTGCTAAAATTACTGAAACTCAAAAAAGGTGTGAAAATAATAAAAACATTGCACTAGTTTTATAGAATCCAGGGAAGGCAAAAAACAGTGGAGCTCTTTCACCTGGCAGCTGGTTTGTGAATAAAGGTGTCAGAAGGAGGGAGGAAGCAACAGCAGGTAGAAAAGGAGAGAGCTGTTCCTGTCTGCAAGCAAAGAACAAAGGGAAAATGTTTTCTAGAAAAGTGGTCCAGGAGGAAGCCTGCTGGAATCATCAATGAGAAGGGGTCTTGGATGTTCCTGTGCTGGGTTCATGGCTCTCAAATTTCAGATTCACAAACACCCAGAATGAGACATGGCACTTAGAAATTGGATGCTGATTATTTCATTGGTAAATTGAAGATGGACTGCCTTGTTCCAGTGTCATGGCTTTCTGAAGAACTGGAATCTTCTTACTGATTTTCTGAAAAACCAAAAAAGTTTGCAGGGGATTTCTAATCCTTGCTACTAATTGAAGGGAAGTAGGTGAGAGCTCAACATTTCTCCCTCTCTTCTTCCTCATTCTCCCCTTTCCTTCCTAATTTTTTTGTTTATGGTTTATATGCACCTAACATAATGGGCTCTAAATTGTTTCTTACAAGATGAATGAAAAAGATTCTTCTGAGGTTATCTCTTGATTGCTGTTGGTAATGTTCAAATATGTATTTACAAAGACGGTTACTGTACATTTCCTATAATAGCAAAAAAATGAAACCAGCCTACATGTCCATTGATAGGGGTCGGTTAAAGTAATCATGACACAGCCAGACAATGGATAGTATATAGTGGTAAAACAGAAACAAAAACAAAAACCAGGATCAAATAGATCCACATAGCTCTATGAACTAATATGGAAGTTTTCTAAGAAATACGTTATTTGAAATGAGCAGCATATAGATCTGAATATAAAATATGATACCATTTGTGGATAAAAAAAGATTATATATATTTATATGGACACAAATATTTCCAAGAGGATGTTCAAAAGAGTTAACTGTGGTGGCTTTTGGGGAAGGAAGTGGGGAGGCAGGCTATGATATGCCTTTAAAAGTTAGCCTCATACTTTTTGTTTAGTGTTTTTCTAACTTGAGCATATATAAGCAATATTTTTTAAACTACGAAACATTTAGCAGCATAAAATTACGGTATCATTTAGCAGGGACATGGGCCCTGAGAGGCCTGGTCAGGTGGAAAATCACTGAGCCTGAGGAGGAAGAGAGGAGAGGACCAAGAGAGAACAGTGATCTGTTCCTCATTGCCAGCCCACTTTAAGACAGGTAATCATAGGGAAAAAGGTAATTTATGGGCTGTCTTTCTTATAATCAGAACCCCCTTAGATAGCTTGTTAAAAAATAAAGGATCTTGCTGTGCTATTCCAGAATACCTGAATAGAAATCATTAGAACTGGGGTCCAGGACTATGCAATTTCAATATGTTTCCAGTTGATTCAGTGACACAGTAAAGTTTGAGACCTGCAGGGGTTAGGGTCCTTGATGGAGAGTGAGCTTGAATCATACCTGTCATTCCAGATTACTGGGGTGGTGGGCCTTGGGGAGGTCTTTGTGTTGGTGGCGGGCCTTGGGGAGGTCCACACTGGTGTGGTGGGCCCTGGGGAGGTCTTTCTGGTCCAGATCCTGGGGATGGTGTTCCCTGATTCTTCCCAGGAGGAGGTGGGGGAGAATGGCGATGACGATGACCTCTTGGTGGGGGTGGTCTCTGCTGAGGTTGACCATCTTGTGTGGGGGGTCCCTGCTGCGGTCCATCACCTTGGTTTTCACCATTAGGAGGGGGTCTAGGTGGTGGTCCTCCAGGTCCTCCAGGAGATGGTCTCGGAAACTCCTCAACTGAGTTTGAGCTTGAGTTGTTTACATCTGTAAGGAATGGCACAAGGATAGAGCATCGTGGGGATAGAAGGCTCCCCTGTCACTTTGATCTCTGGTCACCTTTCAGACAGTCCCTTTCTCCCAGAACCTGCTTCTCAACAACCAACTTCCCTCCTATCCTTAGCTTCATTTCACATCACTCCTATTCATCCACATACTAGTCATATTGAGTCTTAGTTCTTTGCTCCTGAGACAAACATGTGTTTGTCTTCATCCATATTAACAGCTGCTCCCCACCACTCGCATTACCTCCTGAGCTCTGCCTCTTGTCAGCATTATGGTGAGTTGTATAATTATTTCATTATATATTACAGTGTAATAATAATAGAAATAAAGCGCACAATAAACATAATGCGCTTGAATCATCCAGAAACCATCCCGTCCCCAGTCTGTGGAAAAATTGTCTTCCACAAAACCGGTCCCTGGCGCCAAAAATGTTGGGGACCACTGCTACATGGAACTGTGGCAGTAGACATACAATTCTACGCATTTGTCAAAAACCATAGAACTGTACACTGTAACATGAACTGTATTGTATGTAAATAAAAGCACAATTAACCAGGGTGTGGGGGGAATCTAGGATGAAATGCAAGTTGAGACAGATGACCGTAACTAAGTACAAATGAACCATATAACCATGCTGACAGAACAGAAACAAAGATCCTGACTTAGGTAACCTTGGCAAAGAGGATTTTGACCAGATAATGTGAAGGCAAAAGACAAAAAGAGCTACACGCAAACATTGTTCTGTGATTGTAAATCTGTTTTGACAGGTGAGTCAGTATCTCTGAAACTAATTTATTGGTATAGTAGAGTTGAACAAATATGTAAACATATTGTAGTTGAGAAGTAGGTTTCTCATTGTAGGTAAAAGAAAAAGAAGGAAATGGAGAAGGCTAGAATAAACTTTGAGTTGCTGGACTGGAACTGAATTATCAGTATGTACTCATGTTCTCACTTATGTGTGTGTGTGTGTGTGTGTGTGCATATGCATACACAAACATACAGAAATAAATGCACATATGTGTGTATGAGTTAGCATATGTACATGTATTTTCTAACTCTATTCAGTGAGAGGGGCTAGAATCAGTGACAGGTTAGTAGCCATGAACACACCACCTAGCTGCTAGATCTTGGTTTCTAAATGCCATCCTTCAGTAAAGGGAACCAGGGGTCCTTGGAGAAGTGGTTGTTTCCAGGGCTAGAACATCTTGGGTGTCAGAAAGTAAGGAACTGTTTAAAAGAAAAAGAGATGGAACATGTCAAAAGGTATCTCAAAGAGCACTCAACGGCCAGTAAGAACTTGAGCTACGCAATAAATAATGATAGTACTGGATTATAACCCAAAGAATAAAATACGTATTCTTAGGTCCATCCTGAGATTAATGAATGAATGGATGAATGAGTGAATGGGAAAATGGTCACTTTTCCTTGCAGAAAAATTCCACTTAATATATTAGAACACCACACTAATATTTAACCACAGGCAAGATCCATCAGAGTGTAAATAGGATATCTGCATAGTCTTAAAGTATCTCCCACAAATATTTAATATTTATAACGGGAGCAACAGTAAGTTTACAGTAGAGAGTCCTGGTAGATATCACCTTAGCCAAGAAGTGAAGGTTAACATGACCAATAATACATACTGACATAATGTGCCCCTGATATGATGCGCTAAGAAAAGCACAGCCGATGGCACCTTCCCAATAATGCACAACCTCAATCCAATCATAAGCATGTATCAGAAAACCCCGAATTGAGAAACATTCTACAAAATAACTGATCAGTACTCTGTCATGTCAAGGTCATGAGAGACAAGAAAGACTGAGGAATACATTGGAAGAGCCTGACTAAGGAGCCATGATGACTAAGTGTAATGTGGAATCCTGAAGGAGATCCTGGGACAGAAAAAGGACATCACTGGAAAAACCTGGTGAAATCCAAGTAAGTTCTGTACTTTAGTTAGTAACATTGAGCTGAGGTTGATTTCTTAGTGTTGACAAATGGTATACGGTTATGTAAGATGCTAACCTAAGGAGAAGCTGGGGGAAGAGTATACAGGAACTCTCTATACTAATTTTGCAACTTTTCTGTAAGATTAAAATAATCTTTTAAAACTGACATTAAAAATTAAAACAAAAAAGGAATAGGATAATGTAAAATGCTATTTTGATATAAAATTTTCAATGAAATTGACATTATTGTAAGATAATGTTAATTACCAAATTTAACTCAAGAAGCTTAGGATAAGTTGAATAGAAAATAACCATGAAAGAAATGGAAGTTATAGGAAAACAGCTGCAACAACCTATCACTATAACCTCCACCATCAATGGACATAGCAAATTTTGATATATAAATTTTTATATCATTAAAAAACATAATTCTTACTTAAATTGTTCTAAAATATAGATAAGATTAACAAGTTTCTAAATTCATTCTGTGAGGTTCACAAAAAAAATATGTAGACCTGCAAAGATATTTCATTAGGAAAAATTTTCAGTTAACATCTAACTAGTCAACACTGTGTTAGAAGAATAATATGTTGAAAGAGGATTGCAAGCACGGTTCAGTATTAGGAAATACTGAACCCTGCTTCTACTATTGACCTTCTACCCCTGCTGATGGCCTCAAAATTTTTACTGAGAAGTTCAAGGAAATCAGAAAAGAACTGTCTCACCTTAACAGCCACCAAGGTGACCAACCATGAGACGTGCTGCACGATGATAATCTGTGACTAACCCACAGGCAATTCTAGCCCTATTTTCTGGCTTCTCTCCCATTATAGTTGAAGCCTTCTTCCTCCTTTTATTTCTACTCTGAATTTCAACCCGCATTGGCTAGTCAAGGATTTTGCTAGCTTACTCCCATACCAATTCCACTCTTGCTCCAAAAGTCTATTCTCCACCCCCATTCATTTTAAGATCACATTATTCTTCCATTCCAAAATTTCCAGTGTATTACCACCATTTTATTCCATCAGAACAAAATCCAAATTTGTTACTATGGCCAACACCCTACATGATTGGCTGTCTCTGAACTTGCTGACTTCTTTACTTAATTCTATACTCCATTCTAGACCCACTGATCTTCCTGCTATTCCTCCAGCATACCAAGCTTGTTCCTACCTTTATCAATCATGCTTCCTCACTTAATTCAAATCAGCTCAAATTTCACCACTTCGAAGCCTTCTCTGAATACACAAAAACCGTCCATCTCGTTAAGCTCCTTTTTAAAAAAATTTTTCTTCTGGTAGATTTTTTTTTAAAGACCTAATACTTGTTAGAGCAGTTCTAGGTTTATAACAAAATTGAGAGGAGGGTACAGAGATTTCCCATGTACTCATGTCCCCACATATGCATAGCCTTTCCCATTATCAGTATCACTCACAAGAGTGGTATATTTATTTCAATTGATGAACCACATTGACATATCATAGTCATCTGAAGTCCATACTTCACCTTCAGGTTCACTCTTGGTGTTGTATATTCTGTGGGTTTGAGCAAATGGATAATGACATGCATTCATCATTATAACCTCATACAGAGCATTTTCACTGTCCTGAAACTCCTTGTGCTCTACCTGTTCATCTCCCTGCCTACCCCCACAGCCGTGGAAGCCACTGATCTTTTTATTGTCTCCATAATTTTGCCTTTTCTAGAATGTCATATAGTTGGAAGCACACAGTATGTAGCCTTTTCGAATTGACTTCTTTCACTTAGTAATATGCACTGAAGTTTCCTTAGTGTCTTTTTGTGGCTTAAAAGCTAATTTCTTTTTACCACTGAATAATATCTCATTGTCTGGATGTACCACAGTTTATATTTATCCACTCACCTGCTAAAAGCCATCTTAGTTGCTTCCAAGTTTGGGCAATTACGAATACAGCAGCTATAAATATCCATGTGCAGGTTTTTGTGTGGACACAAGCTTTCAACTCCTTTGGGTGAAGTACCGAGGAGTGTGATTCTTGGATCATAATGGCAAGAGTGTTTGTTTTATGAGGAACTGCCAAACTGTGATCCAAAGTGGCTGTACCATTTCAAATTCCCACCAGCAATGAATGAGAGTTCCTGTTACTCCACATCCTCGCCAGCATTTAAACCAAATGTCAGTGTGCTGGGTTTTGACGATTCTAATAGGTATGTAGTAATGTCTCATTGCTGTTTTAAATTGCATTTTCCTGGTGATGTGTGATGTGGAGGATCTTTTCATATGCTTGTTGCCATCGGTATGTTTTCTTTGGTGAGTTACACGCTAAGGTCTTCGGCCCATTTTCTAATCGAGTTGTTTGTTTTCTTATTGTTGAGTTTTAAGAATTCTTTGTTATATTTTGGATAATAGTCCTTTATCAGATGTGTCTTTTGCAAATATTTCTCCCAGTCTATGACTCCTCTTCCAACTCTCTTAACTGTCTCTTTTACAGAGCAAGAGTTTTTAATTTTAAAGAATCTGGCTTATTAACTATTTCTTTCATGTATTGTATTTTTGGTGTGATATCTAAAAAGGCATGCTTTTTTTAAAAAAAATTAATAGTCTTCACTGTCAGATAGCCAGCATTCAAGATCCCTACTTCTTGGTCGTCACGGTCTTGTGTAATCCCCTACCAGATTATATCAGAATTGGCCTGTGTGACTGATGGCACACTGATGGCAGAAATGGCGGTACGTCACTTGTAAGATTGAGTTACGAAGGACATTGTGGCTTCGTCTTGGTCACTCTCTCTTGTTCACTCTCTCTTGTTCTTCAATCTCAGTCTCTCTCTCCCTCTCTCTCTCTTTCTCATCACTTGCTTTGGGAGAAGCCAGGTGCCTTAGCCCTATGAAGAGGACCCATCCTTTACAGGCGAGTCTCTTGGATCCTCCCATTTGGTTTCACAGAGGGGAAAGCACCAAGAGGGAGGAGAAGAAAAAGTCTTCTACCTCCAGTCCTTCACTTCCCACTTGGCTTCTGATAACAACTTCACTCTCCCCAAATTGTTTCTAACCTGGATGGAGGTGGGCTGAATGACAGGGATGGGTCTGCTTCCTCCTAGTAATCCCTGCAGTGAGGTGTCCAGCTCCAAGTGCTCAAGAGTCTTTGGTAGTGACTATTATTAAAATGAGAAAGATTTTGTTTATAGGTGGATCATATAATCACCAAGGTCAACTCTACTCTGTAGAGTTAAATTACACTTACATTTCCTTCCTTGAAAAACTTTTTGTTTTCCTGGAGTTAATAATCATCTTTTTCTTCATTTGCTTGGTTTCCTTTCACGTCTCAGTCTTCCTGCAACCTCCAACAGACCTGTTAAATCTCTCTCAACAAAATCTTTTTCACCCTCAAACACTCAGATAATTTGCTTTTGCCCTGGCAATTCCCTTTTCTCCTTCTTAAGTAGGATGATATACGTCCTGGGTTAAAGAAAGCCTTTCTTGGTTTTCTTCTTTGTTTGAAGTACATCCTACCATATCTTATTACGAATGAGTGCATGAGAGGCAAAATATTTAGAGATTTTTATGTCTGAGAATGTCAATTCATAATTTGACTGGATATAAGATTTTAAGTTAAAATTATTTTTACTAAGAATTTTTACAATTCCTGACTTCCACTGTTGTTCCAGTATCATTCTGATTCTCAATTCTTTGCATATGACTGCTTTTCTCACTGAGAACTTCAGAATCAACTTTTTATCCCTAACATTTAATTAGATATATGTTGATGTGGATCTTTTTTCTATTTCTTGTACTGGGCACTCAGTATTCCCAGAGGGTCTTCTGTCCTGGGGCCTGCACTTTAAAAGAGGCCCCACACAAACACCAAAACAAAGGCATTGTTTTTTTCTTTCACTTTCATTAGAAAATATTTTTAAAGTTCAGCAAGTAAATTAAAAAAACAGGAATTGTGGGAGAGGGGCACAATTGAACATGGGATCCCCAAGGCCTGAGTATGCAGGATTGAGAATGTGTAAAGGTTCAGAATAAGTTCACAGCTTCTGCCCTGGGGCATCTGACAAAAAAAAAAAAAGGCTACTTTTGCTTAAATTTAGTCACCTCAAATCAATCAAAAGCATGAAGGCAGACAGGTTCTCCCACCCCCCCACTGTAACTACACTCCCAGTCACTCCTGTGCTCAGTGGTATAGTTTGGGGAGGTGCTTAAAAATTCCTGGAAATCCTAAATCAGAACTGAGGCAAGGGGGAGGAAAACTTGCCCAGCAGGTTCCCACAGGAGCTTGACCAGGTCAGTCCTGGGCCCGACCAGCTTCCAACCTGCTGTTCCAGCAGACATCCTGCCCGCTCCCTTCTCCCAGCTTGCAGGGACAGTGTCCATCCAGGGGAACTCATGGCTCCCTTGGTCTCTAGGCTTGGTCTAAAAGGCAGTCTCCAAGGAACAGGCTTCGGGAGCCAGACAACATGGGAAACTTGACCTGAACCTAGGGTCTATCTTGGTTTGTAACTTGTGAATATTTAGAGATATGTATGCAGGCCTCCATTTGTATTCCTGCACCTGACCCTGCAATGTTAAGTGTGAGCCTTTGGATAATAACTGGACACTTTCAACATGGAGGATCATCCTTAAATTCTGGAACATATGTTGTAGTGTCCCATTGATAATTTCTTTCCCAATATATTCTGTTTTCTTTGAAATTTGTGTTGAATTTTTTCTCACCTATTAACCATCTCTTTGCACTTTTGCTCTGTTTTATGGAGGAGTTCTTCATCTTCTATTGAACTTATTATCAACTAAATTTACAAGGACCAATATTTCTTTTTATCTTCTGGTTGACTATTTAATAGCATCCCGTTCTTGTTTGAAAGATGCAATATGTATTCTTTTTCCCTCAGAATATATTAATTACAGTTTCTTAAAGTTTTCTTCTCCTCATATTGTCTGTTTCCTCTGAATTTTCCTTTTACTGTTTCTTGCGTCTTATTTGATAGAGATTTTCCTCAAATGTCTGGT